CAAACAATTAGAGAAATTAATCAACCGACAATTTCATAGATCCAATTTTTTCCAACTAATCTCTTTTCTCTCCCAGTCCTACTCTTTCTCCCGTTCATTCATCAAGATTTTCTTCCTACAATTAAAGCTAAGAAAACGAGGTCATAGAAGACCACACCAGTTGACGTCTTTGTAAACAAGTAAACCATTAATCAAAAGCAAAAACTTCCAAGCGTTCTCGATTGATGAAAAACAAGGTGTCACACTGTCTGTATACGTTTGTAACAGCTTAATGATAAAAATGACGCATTTAACTGTTAATTTTCGAAGGAATTCATTTTAAATCGTTTTTTTTTCTTGCATCTACAAATAAGTGATAGGTATGTAATTTTAATGTAATATTTTTAAACGTGAAATATTGCTATCTATATATTATACCTTCATCAGACTCTTTCGATACCCATCTACGGAAAATAAAAAAGGACTGAGGTATGAATGTTTACTGCACCCCGGTATCCTTCCATCCTACAAACTATACACATAATAAATGTACATAAATGTACATACAAGTAAATGTGTAATATAAATAAGTAAAGCTATAAACCACATTCAAAATATCACCAGTCAGTATTCGTGTGAATCTATAAGTGGCTCAATGTTACTATTTTTCTGCTAAATCTATGTAATGTAGCTGTTGATTCACCATTCAATAAATAAATAAATAAATAAATAAAATAAATCTTGAATATTAATTTGTTATCGACATTGCGCAACGCAATATCAAACTTAATCAAAGTAGTTTTTATGCTTATGATTAATTTCTTGTCATCTCATATTCAGGGGTGTCATTAAAAAAGTGGAAATATCCGAACGAACCACAGATTAATTGGCGCCAAAAATATACGAAGCGCGGGAGCGTAGCGTGGAGTCAAATGGCGCGGGAAGGCGTCAATTGCTGTACTTTTTTATATTTTTTTCATTAATTATCTTGTTTCAAATTACTAACTCGAGTTTCTTTGATTTATACGTTTGTTTCAAATGGATATTCGTTTTGAAATTGTATATTTTAGATTTATTTTGTCACCGCGCCGCGCCGGATGAAGTGATTAAATTATGGATGACGATGTTTCTCAGATAATTTCTTTGATAAATATTTTAAAGTTTAGCCTTTAACGTTTAACTAAAGTATGGAGTGGGATATTTGAGGACAGGAAATGGGTGCCTACGAGGAAGACCGTACAGCGCTGAAAAATCGACGGCAATTGAAGAAGGTCGCTAACTCTCTCTATTAAGATAGACAAAAAAATAGTGATACAGACATAAATGGAGGGCTTTAAAGGAGGTTTAAATTAAATCTTCTATATATATAAAAGAAAGTCGTGTTAGTTACACTATTTATAACTCAAGAACGTCTTAATCGATTTAGATGAAAATTGGCAGGGAGGTAGCTTAGAACCAGGAGACGGACATAGGATACTTTTTATAGAATACTTTTTACCGAAAATCACGAACGGGAACGTGGGGAAAATGTGATTGCGCGTACGAAGTCGCTGGCAGAAGCTAGTGGTGAATAAAAGCTAAAGAAGAAGATAGAGACGTTGAACTAACTATTAAATTCGTCGGAAGAGGAGGGTAGCAATCTCTATTTCGAGCTAGCAATAAAGACCGATTGATTTAGAAAATCATTACCTAAAGGTAGGAGATGTAGGTAACCATGCTTAATATGCTTCGTTACAAATGGTCCGGCTCGGCCGAAGTGACGGCAGGGGCTGACGGCCTCGCCGGAAACTTGCGTGAAACAACCACCGTTGTGTTTTCGGTGTGTGCGAGATTACCTACGGGAGAACCAATCTTTCCCCCTCTTCAAAGGTCGGCAATGCACTTGTAAATACTATATAGTTACCTGTGTTCGTGTATAGACAGCCGTGTGCAACACGTTGCTTATAGCTATCAAGCCGCTGCAGCACCAACGGCAAGAGCTCGATGATAGCTCAATACCCAGAATTAGATGTGTTTAACGATAAGTCATATGACATACATAAACAAATGAAAAAGTTTTTAAGTAGTACCTATCTAAGTACCTAATTAATATTGTAATGGGTTATCCTGGAATGTAAGTATTTTGACACTCGCTGCAAACTTTCATTTTAATTTCTATAAATAAATAAATAAACCAGTTGAGTCTACTCGTTTGACGCTCTCTATCTCATTGAAAATGTATCTAGATCTTGTGATTGTAAACCTAATTTCATTTTGGCGATATCCATATCAACCCGCGCTTGCTGTATTATGAAATGAGCTTCTATTCTACGTATAAGAACGAGCTTGCTGCCGGTGTCGAAGAAGCTGAATAAAAGTATATCATTATCACAATGATATCCTTTATCAGCAAAGGATATCATTGTGATAGACACCAGCACAATGATATCCTTTTATTCGGCTTCTTCGACACCGGCAGAACAGGAAAGGGTGATGACAAATATTATCTACTCTACCTCACAGCATCACCAGCCATATAAAATACGAAAAAACACCATAATGTTATTCCAGGCCTTTGCCTGGCTTGTTTCACGCAAGGCTATTCTGTAACTGTCAATTTGAACTTCCGAAGTGAGGTGATTATTTAATTTCCAACTTCCAAGTGTGACTAGTCATTTAGGGAAGGACATCGAATGGGTTAGGTACCATTTCCAGATTTTCGCAATGAATCCAAATTTTATAAGAATCTCGCCGTCTCCTGATAAAAAGAAATACCAAAGAAAGATGTAAAGAAATCGGCACAGCCGTTCACGCGGGATGTCGCGAACAACGGTTGCCGTCGCCGGCTGGTTGGATCACCATCATCATTGGTGGTGATGTTCTTCGTTTGTCAGGTAGAAGTACATAGAAGTAATTTATGCGAGTGAACTATAGCGATTTTACGCCTTAACCACTTACTTAATTTTTGTTTTGTTTTAATGAATTGTGACTAATATTCTGTGCATATTTCAAACGTTTGCCTGTAGGCAATGCCTATCAGTGGGTGGGTAACCTATCAGTACTAATATTAGTTATGTTTTGCTTTTTAGTTTTTACTTTTTGTTTGATTGTTATTAGTTTTTGGTTTTTTGAAGTCGTTTTTTTAATCGCAGCTTTAATTTTTTTTATTTTATAATTTTTAGTGTAATGCTATATAGATCCGTTTTGCCCCTTTTAATCCACATAGGTGCAAATTTCTAATCAATACAAATTATACAAGCCCAAACACAAGGTAGTTACAGTGTACCGTTAAGGAGTTCCCTTAACAATTACACTTCTTCATCATCAGACTCACTCCATCTAGGTGTAAGGTTCTCATCAATAAAAAATAATCAAGCCGAAACACAAGATAGTTAATATAAACCGTTGACGAGTTCCCTCGACTGTCTGTCGGCTCCATCATCAGGTCGACTCCAGACCCTTATCAAATTGCAGTGTTCAAAAATCCTAATTGAAAAACATAATAGACGCATTACTTGCCCCTACAATTTTCTAAAGTTTCTCTCGGTTTCCCTAGGATTCCATCATCAGATCCTGACTTCATGGAAATGGGACTATCTCGGGAGTATGCCCTTTCAAACAAAATAAGAATTTTGGAAATCGGTTCACAAATGGCGGAGTAATCGGTGAACAAACAAACGAAAAAAAAACAGTAAAAATCCAATCATCAGGAACAAACCCAATAGGTATAATGTCAGGGTATGAAAATTAAAAATCTAATTAGTCCGTAAGTTAGATAATGAAAAAATATTAGACACCTATTTTTTATTTTTTCGTATAATAAAACAATACTAAGATAAAACGAATCAATTTGGACTTCTTTCTGTTATACTTCATAAAACAAATATAATTTTTTAAATCGTTATTTCTCATCTTTGAGACTAAACACAAAAAGCACAAAAAAGTCAAAGTATTTATTTCAATTAAACCATAATTTGGTCATTATGATACGTCAACAAAATACAAAAATAAATAATATTAAAGTGTGGGAGAGCCATGCTTCGGCACGAATGGGCCGGCTCGACCGGAGTGATACCACGGCCTCACAGAATGCCGACGTGAAGCAACGCTGGCGTTGTGATTCGTCGTGTGAGTGGGGTTACCGGAGGCCCAGTTACCCTCTCTTTCCCCAATCTCTCCAATCCCTGAATCCCCAACGATTCTCAAACTCCTAATCTCGAAAAGGCCGGTAACGCACTTGTAACGTCTCTGGTGTTCCAGGTGTCCATGGGCGATGCCAATTGCGTACCATCAGGTGATCCGTCTGCTCGTTTGCCGGCTTATGCCATAAAAAAATGTCAGTCTGTCCGTCAGTGAAGCTAGGTGGTCATTCCAAAATGTAGATTTTAATGGAGAAGAACGAGCAAGAAACTCCATTCGTCACTCCTTTAACACGTTAAACGCCATGGCAGTCACCGGTGACCGACATTAGCGGAGGATTTGCCTTTAACAGTTTTTTATTGGCAGCCAATGCCTTAAATAACGTAGATTGAGGTGAATTGAATATTCATTTAAATTTTTATTAAAAAAATCTTTATGAAAATAAATAAAATTAGTTATTGTTTTTAACCGAATCCAAAAAGAGGGTGTTTACAAGTCGACTTTTTTTTTAAAGTAATATTATTGTTTTTTAACCGTTGAAATCCACCCCCTAAATTTGGTCATACAAAAGTAGTCTCTAAACATTAGAAAAAAGGTCTATAATGTAATGTAATATTAGTGGAAAGCGGTCACCGGTGACCGCTTGGGGATTTATGGGTTAATTAATTTAATAATGTTTATAGGTTATGTTTATGGAAGAACCATACAAAAACTGGCATCAAAAATGGCAAAAGTTAACTTTGATAAAAAAATCGGCTCTGAAAGAATATTTATTTCAAATCAAAGAAAATATTATTTCTTTGATTTTGACTTTTTTATCTATCAGTCTATTTACAAAATTTATAAATAGACTAGAATATTTTTGGTAGGTAACCTATAGTTTCAAAATAAAAAATATTTACCTGATTGCGAATAATCAGTAGATTTCATATCAAGAAACTCCTGGGCATCGCCAACCGTCGAGCTCTCTACGTCAACATTTTCCGAACCGTCGCTACTGACTCGATCATCATCATCAGAATCGATATTTTCCGGCACATCACTCACGTAATTACTTTTCAAATCACTTGTCACACCACTAGTAGACGCATTAGCATTGTCCGAAAAATCGTTAAAACACTGTCTTTCGAATTTATCCGCTAACAAATTTTCAATAGAAAACGGTAATTTGTTTTCCGATTTTTCGGTCTTTATATCGTCAACCTCCATCGTGGAGTCCGTAGGATCCATATTTTCTTTTTTTAAACGTGTGTTCGCTACAAAATTTAACTATATTTTGAATTTAATTCCAACGGTTCGACTATACAGGGTGTGTCCCACACAGGGCCATAATTTAAACTAATAAGAAACTTTCACGATGCGTTTTTGTCAATTCGTCCGCTGAAACGTCTGCGAGCGGAATGTTAACTACCTCTTTTGAAAAACATAATCGTATCTCAACGTTTTCTGCTGTCTGTAACCTTTATTTTAATAGCACTAAGGTTGAAGTTGGTTTAATTATCAAATTAGTTATATCTGGCAGTGGTGCTACTGATGGGAATGAAGATTGAGAGCCTTTACTAATGGGCGTCTTTCTGGATGACAGTATTTTAGTAACTGCCACAATGAAATCTCAACTTTAAAAGTGTGAAATAAAGCTTATAATTAGTTGAAGATAGTTAAACGATGCAAATAGCTCATGAAGAGTCCCGAAGTTATAATTAGAGTTGGACCAATCGGCGTTAAGGGGCGTGGTTATGGTCTGAAATGTTGCGCTCGCGCACTCCTTGTACATCAAACGGCAGATTTATTTAAGGAGTTACGCTGATATATGTGGGTAGTCATTAATTCTGATAATTATTTAGTTAGTTCATTTAATTGGAGTAGTCAGATGGTCGCTTATAGAACGGTCCGCTCTATTGATTTATTGTTCTCGTTCCCTGTCGCGATGGTTTTCATTATAATTGCTTAATTCTGTTTGTAATTAGTTTTGAATTTATTAATTGTTTCTAACCATGACTTTTGGTTAATTTGGGAATTAATGTTCAAGGAAAGACTACGTAGAAGACTTCTAAATGATAGGTTGATATGTGGTGGAAAGATATACTTCAACAGAAATGGGCCGGGAGCCCGCTAGTCTAGCGGCGCAAGACGGGATTTATACCACGACCTCATGGGAAACCTGCGTGAAACAACTACAGCGTTGTGTTTCACCGGGTAAGTGATGGTACCAGAGGCCCAATTTCCGCCTCCCTAATCCTTAAACCCCTAATCCACAAAAGGCCAGTGACGCATTTCTTGCGAATGTCAAAGAGGGGTGCGCCGATTGCTTTCCGTCTGGTGATCCGTCTGCCGCCCTATGCCATACAAAAGGTACTTTTTATCGATTCCATTCATGGATTCCTTTTACTCGGGCGACATTACAGGACTTCTAGACTCCGGGAATGTCGCGGAGAACCTAACGGGTTACCTAGGCTCCGGCTCGACGGACAGCAGAAGGAACGGGGTGGTTTTTAGTCGGTAAGAATCTGACACTCCCTCCCGCCTAACCCAGGCGGGAGCAGTCATACGATGATTTTCCCACCTTAAACTGTCAAACACCAAGCGGTCACCGGTGACCGCAACCTATTGTTCTATAATTGTGTCTATAATGACGGTACTCGACGAGTTAAAAAAAGCCTATAGGTAAGCCTATAAGGTGTAGAGTAGTTTATGATATGTTAAAAGGTTCAGGTTTATCATTTCTGATAATCAGCGCTTTCGCGCTGCTGCCCGGTCTCTGTCAAATATATATGTAGTTCCTTATCCAGCTTACTACACCAGTAGGTAGATTACCGGATGGCTAAGCATTTTTCGTGATTAAATCAACACTATGTGATCCAAGATGCCATGAAGACTTAGTCATGGTTACTGAAGCGCTACAGTTGCGCCCTGCGAACTTGCGGTCCTGATCTTGGCAAACGAAGCGGAAGAAAAATACTATTTCATTAATAAAATTTGTTATATTATAAAAAATAACCCAAAGTCGTATCATCCCTAAGGCTAACGATAGGTAAGTGCCTTGGGCGCCAAGTTACAGAAGGGGCGCCGTCAGACGCGCGTGCCTACCTACCCATAGTGGCCGAGGCGCCAGAAAAATAAGATTTTGGTTAATGTTTAATATTAATTCACCACGGAATCTTGGTCCGTGCCCTTGTTATATATTAAAAAAGGTGGTAGTTATCTATGCAGGAAACCAGTGCTCAAAGAGCTGGTTGAAAATCCTTGACGCCGCGGATGTCTCTGTAAACCACTGCTGTAAACACTTTATTTAAATTGTCCATCCAATTATCCACCCAAAAAAAAGAAATAAAAGGTTGTCTATGAGGTGCTTGCCTAGGGCGCTCTCTAAATTTTTCTGCCGCTGACTGACCTAGCGAAAAAAAAATATTTATTTTGTCACATTTTTACGCATTTTGTTTTTTTTATTTTTTTAATGTTGATAGTTGAGAGTGCTGAAAAGGGTATTAAGCTGGCGAGCACAACCGCGAATAATAGTTAGTTATACAACCTAACATCACAAAACAAATGTAAACCATAATAAAGGCAATAAATAAACAGATAAAAAATGTCATTCCCGTCTCCTTTTCAAAACTCCGACGTATATTGTCATAATTAGGCTGAATGAGGTCCGTGGCGCTTACCGTTGTTTTTTTCTTAATTTTTTCTACCAAAATGATGAATGGGTGATACCGTATAAAAAATGGTTTACTGTTCCGAGGTTCCGTATATATTTCTTTTATTTTGTGTGGAAATGTGATGTTATATTTGGTGCGTAAAAAGTGTTAGAAAATATTAATCTATGAAATTGAAAGGGGTAATAAAATGTATAATTATAAAAGGTATATTTTTTTTAGATATATGTACACATTTAAGGTAGCTTTACTATGTAAAGTCCGTTGTTCCTGTAAGTTACTTAGATTTTGTAAGTACTAAAAAAATAATCAAGAAATACTACAGATCCTTGTCTGTTCGTGTTATCGTGTAGTAAATAAATAAATTGTTTCATTTGTGTAAATATTTGATGGCATTTTTTATTAATCGAAAGATTTCTCCCATATCTTCATATTTCCTTTGGCCTACAGCACTCTAAACTGTGAATTAGTTTTCGACAACTCCACACTGTTTCGTTTCCGCATATTTGACTGCGGTATGCGATCCCTACATCTAAATGATCTAAATTGCTACAGTATGCGCCTGCGTGGTTGCATTTGAGAATTCTGTCAGAAGGTTCATTTCGTTTTCGATTTTTATGGTAGTCTAGATTGATTTTTCTAGCTTTGCAAGTTGAAATGTTGTTGAGCGACTTAATAACTGTGTAATATCTTGTACACTTGCTTATATTGATTTGCACAACTATAAGTCATATAAAAAAAATAGTTTGATTAGTAAATTGTTCGTTGAATAAAGAAAAAGTAAACAGTTCTGCATTAAACAAAATGTTAACATAAACCGAAAGTACTTTGCGTATATTTATAAAAACCTTTACACTTCTGTACTTCTGAATCAAATTGTATGCTGCGCAGGAGTCGACGTTGGCATCGTCCATCAATAAACACGTGTACGGATGAACGTAGTTACCGCTTAATGAGTTTATTTAGAAAATGTTTAGAGTAATTGGTGCTAATATAGTTTTTAATTGTTCTGGATTTGGTTGGTTTTATGGTTCTAAAATTGATTGAGCATGGCTCGTATAGGCACCTCCTTCCAGACTTCGTTAAATTATATAAATATTTCCTGAATTTGAAGTAGGTTATAATTGTTACTTTGACTAACTTTATTTATTTTTTTCACTTATCATCACTACATAGTATAAAACAAAGTCGCTATCCGACGTCTGTCTGTCCCTATCCCTATGAATGCTTATATCTTTAAAACTATCCAACGGATTTTGATGCGGTTTTTTTAAATAGATAAAGTGATTCTTGAGGAATCGTATACCGTATTTTGGGTGTAGGTATATTACAATCATAGTATTAAATATTTTTTCTGCAGTAAGAGAATCTAGGACATGCGAGCAGCCAGTTGCCATGCCATTTCTTACAGTCAATTTGTACTGTCTTTTATTTTAATTAGCCATCATACCTACATAGTTTATTAACAGAAAATCCAGATCTGAAAGTAGTCCCGTTGTTAATTAACAAATATTTTAGGAATTAATAATGATTCTTTTTATACGTGAATAAACTATCAATTACTTTCCATAAAATAAGTTGTATCTACAATATTGTTAATTGAAGATGTTTGTTTTTATGTTGACCTGAAAATATAGCCGTCTTACTTAATTTACTTGCAACTACAAGACAGTTCAAATTTATGAGCAGGTAACCTTTTGAACTCAAACTCGACACATCCTGTGCAATTAAGGAGTGTGGAATACTTTTACCGAAATAACCCGAATTTTTGTTTATGACAACAGCAATTATTTTCGTACAAAAAAACGTTAACTGTCAAATATTTATGATGCGGAACTGTGCGGAACCTATAAAGACAGTTTTTGTATGCATCGGAGGAATTTTCGGTATTCCTTAATGTCACACAAAATATTTGACACAAAAAGACATACAACTTCACGCCAAGGAATGTAGTTATGTTTGCTTTTCTTCTTGGTTGCAACTTTTGTCTCCGTTGTTTATTAACATTATAGTCATATCATAATGTCATAATTATCATAATTACGAAAGCCGAAGAAACTTTAGGGTGCGCTTGTTAACTGCATCGCGGGTTCGGAACCTTACAAAAACCTATACTCAACCTAGACATACGGTTGCGTCGGGGATCGCGGGACGATCTCCGCCCACCGTAAGCGCGGGCCTGCGGACGGGTGGCTCACCGTCTGACCAGAACCAGACCCGAACGTACGGCGCGTCGGGTTCCGGGCGCGCCTCAAAAAGCCATCACACCACCACGAATGGGGCCCAATAGGGCCGATGCCGATTCGGAGTCGCGGAGAACCTAACGGGTAACTGGGGCTCCGGCTCGAAGAGCAGGAGAAGGAACGGGGTGGTAGCGTTTAGACAGTAAGAGTCTGACACTCTCTTCCGCCTCATCGTAGCGGGAGCAGTCATTCGATGATATTCTCCCCTTAAATAAATAAATAAATAAAAAGACACACGGTTAAAAAATTGGTACTCTGCCTCTATGCTCATTTCTGAGGTGGACACAGTGGAATATTAAAGCCTGATAATTAAGCATAAACAATGTCGACTGTAACTCTAAATTGTACGCATATACAGTCAATTTGGTGTGCTTTGGTATGCTATAAGTATTAGTTTTAAATTCGTGAACTTTGGTTTTATTAATCACATACATCGACCAATGGGCTGTTGCAACTATGTAATTAGGCGTGCTGTCAAAACATAGCCTCGTGACAATCGCTTTGGCAAACGACATAGATCTTCATTGATCAATAAATATTTGGCAAAAGACCATACGGACAAATATTTAGTTCGGTTATTTTAAAAGTATATAACGCCATGTCATTTAATCACCAAAGCGGTAGGCAGAGGCGCAACATTTTAATGTTGTTACTAGTCTCATGTAATAGGGGCTGAGAGAAGCTTACAAAACAGTACTTTTTAACAAATGTAATACATTTTTTTATTCAATTACATTTTCTTTTATTTTGCAGTCAAAATTAATTGTTACAAAAAACGTAATACATATTTATACGCTTGTGGTCTACGAAGGTAAACACAGATGAACTTGCAATACCTTGATACTCGCAGAAGAGTAGACGTAGCAGCACCCATGCACTAACTGGTGATAATTTGATAAATATATATTTCATGTATTCTTCTCTGCTCACTCATTACATGGCCATCTTCATAAATCATATAACTGTAAGGTGTTCTAAATACCTACGATAACTGACAGCTTAACATTTTCTTCAGAGTATGTAGATTATATTGCCAATAGGTTCGTGGTATACAATTTTCGAAATAATACGCTACTTGAGCTAATAATGCATGTTCTTGTTGCCACTTATAACTGCAATCCAACGATAACATTGTTACGTGGTTACACATCCAGCTACAGTTTTGATTGTATTATTTATTGCCTGTTCAAGATCATCGATAGCAAGCATAGTTCGTGTAGTAGGTAGAGTGGGTACTGCTACTTAACCACAGTACCCATGAATTTTCAGAAACATTCATTCGCTGTAAGCTAAGAAAGTTGTGAGTTCTTTAAAACTAAAAAAAATCTTCTCAAACAAGTTGTTTGAGTGTGCAATAATATTTATAATTATTGATGATTTATGAAGCGTGATGTTTGTTTTCTCAAATATTTATGACATTTTTTCTAGTGGCTTTTGAAATATACAGTGTTGAACTGTGTGTGAAATGGGTAAACCTTTAAGTGCGTGGAATATTTGCAGACGATGGTTAGGATGTTGTTCCCTTCGAATGTTTTGTGTTTTTTCATTTATTTTGACTTTATATATCATTTTATTGGACTTTTTTAATACTGATGTGTTTAGTATCCAGACTAAACGGAATGCGGCAAAGGATATTCTGAAGTTGTGTGAGTACCTAAATAAATTTTATTTAATTTGCAAAGTTTTAAGAAGCTTCTACTATTAATGGGCAATTCAGAGATATTTCACTACATAGTACCTAAAAATTTTTTTTTAATTTTGCTTGGTCTCCCTATGTGTGCTTAGGTCATGTAAACTACGCAACGTTTTTTATGTGGTTAACAGTTATAGGAGGAAGGTTTAAGTACCTGTAATAATGGTAACGTCCTGCATTATGTTTGTGAAACCACAGGCGGAAAGGTAGTGTACATTATTGCAATAATCAGATTCCTTTCCATATTCAATAGGATAGGATTCGGAAAATGATTGAAACGTGTGACTTTAAGTAAAAGTGAATTAGTGATACTACTTCATAAGGCATGAATTAAATAACTAAGAATTTTCACTTCGTTTGCCTAATGAGTGTATCAAACCAAACGTGTGCGCTGACTATCATATTGGGGAAATTGTAATAAAAGTGTAGGAAAATTCTTATAATAAATAAACTATACGAGGTCACGGGACCACTTTTGATTTAGGCGAAGATTGATAGTAATTCGGAACCATCGGAAGTAATTCCCCAATTCCATAAACTTTACTTCTGATACAGGTTACACGTACTAGGCAACTTGGAACACGTTAGCAAAAGTAAATGGAACATTTTAATATATGCATCCTTTCCTAAACTTTTAGGGAATACTTAAAATAAAGGTTCTGAGTCGTGACGTCTACTAGCTTGTCATCATCATCATCATCGTACGGTCGTCGGAGTCGGAATCGGTTGTATGGATCAATATCAACTTATCCAGCGTCTTCTTGCAACCTTTATCAGTTCTCTGTCGTTGTGGTTGCACTACGTCGTTGGCTTATGAAAATAAGATAGATGCATTTTCTTAATACAGGTTTTGTTATTTAATTAAAACCACTTTTATTTAAATATTGCACTATTATCAGTTATATAGGTACAGATACTACAGATATTAGGTAGTCTATTATTTCCCTTACAAACAATTTCTTAATTAAATTAACATCACTGTGTTAAATTTTCCTAAAGCAACATGTTAGCAATTATGCATGTGTTTATACATAAATAAATAAACAAATGTTGGACTTACAACCTTCAAGGCTTCAACTGCCTACAGCATAGCACATTGTAAATGTAACCAGTTTCTACTAATTAAGACAGTATTTTTGTGTAACTGTATACAGTCCAGTTGAGAATTTCAAAGAACCAGTTTCAACCAAGACAGCGCCCTAGGCAAGTACCTCAAAGCGTCCCGACGCCACTCTATAGGCAGTTGGCGACGTGCGTCTCGCCTTAAGGACAATACGGTTCTACCTATTACTCGTATTTAATAAAAATAAAATCTTACCAAAAGACCATAACTATTAACCAAAACACGTATTCATTTCTACCATTCCTCGGTATAAAAATCTATGGTTAGCTGGTCACCCTGCTGTCAGTCGTCCGTCATTTGTTTTTTGACGTGTACACACGTTCGAGCGGTGTTTGTTGTGGTTTTTAAAAGGAAAAATATCGTAATTTTTCAATTATCAAATTGGAAACTATTCGCCTTATGTGAACTACAAGTGTTAATACGTATAATAAATTTTGTGTCGTAGCAACTATGCGTAAGACGTGAATGTTGTGTTAAGATTTCGAACTGGATATTCTGTGGTACAGTATTAAGAATTCAGTGATGTTTTTTGTTTACTTTCGCGTCCAGTGGTTAGCAAGAACGAATATAACTGGAATATGGACGAGATAAACTGTTCATGACCCTCAATTTGTTACAAAAACGTTAGTAAAATAGGTATTCAAAATGCGTCTAAATGTGAAAAAAGCCCTCATTTTTGTGAGCTGTTTAGTGATTTTGTGGGTGTTAATATCATATGCTTCTGTAATAGAAGTACCACGATCTGCTCCACAAAGAGATCCTGCTGTAGAGATAGAAAATAAGATAATTAAGCTTCAAAAACAAGTTGATGCTCAGATGGCTGAGAGTAAATCTCTTTTGGCGAAAGTAAATAAATTAAAAAAGTTATCAGGAGGTGAAAATGTTGGTGAAGATAATAGTCTCAAAGATGCAGAAGTCATGCAGCGTAAGTATCCATTATTTTCTGAAAAATATGGCCTTATGTTTACCTTTCTATGTTGTTAATGGTTTGATTCAATTTAGAAAGATTTTAAATTTAGAAAGATTATAATTAATATTTTTTTAACCATGTAGGTCCTAGATAATAAGTTTATATATGCACTCTTTTGGTGGACTCATACATAACTGGTGAAATGTGTTACATTGTAGGTATATGTCATTATTTCAGTATATCTGCCCTTACCTTCATTGATTAAAAAAACTTGACATTATTTATTGTTTATTGAACAACATGGTATACATATTGAAGTGAAGACTTCTAGATGGGCCTGACTCTGTTGGTCAATATAAACATTTTTCTTTCTTTCTCTTTCTTTCATCTAGAAGTTTTTGTGGGAGGCCTATGTTTAAGTATACTCCCCCAAAGCAGCAGTATTTTCAGAAGGTGCTCAATTAATAAAAAAAACCTACCGTAAAGGGTGCTTAACTCGTCGAGTACCGGTTTTGTAGACACAATTATAGAACAATAGGTTGCGGTCACCGGTGACTGCTTGGTGTTTGACAGTTTAAATAAAGGTTTGATATAATCACTAGAAAAAAATTTATCTCTTTTTCTAAAACAATGTTATGCCATTTCATTTATTTAATTTTTTTTGTCATATCTACTTACCATCATCATAAAAATATAAGCCAGCTACAATGTCAAAGATAAAAAAAATATTGTCACTCTACTGTGAAAAAGGTTACTCAAAGTAGTTCTGTTATAAATGACCGTGACTGGTATGGTATTGTGCTAAATGTATGACCAAACAAGATGTCAATGCACCCATGTTTAGTCAGGTGTTGCAACCATCGCTGTGGTTTCTGGTTTCATATTTATTTATATACTAGCTTTTACCCGCGGCTTCGCTCGCGTCACAAAAGGATAATAAGTAGCCTATGTGAAATATACCAATATACACAGCGCCATCTATACCAATACTTTTGTTTTCCCTCGGGAATATCACATTTTTCCGTCATAAAAAGTACCCTATTATTTAATCCAGATTTCTAACTTTACGTCTGTAAAAATTCAAAGCAATCGGTTTAGTAGTTACGGCGTGAAAGCGGAACAAACAAACTCACTTTCCGATTTATAATATTAGTAAGGATTTAAACACAGAAAACTCCACACATTGTTTAGTAAAGTGTACATGTATAATAATATCAAGACCGAGTTCTTAACCTATAAATCCCCAAGCGGTCACCGGTGACCGCTTTCCACTAATATTACATTACATTATAGACTTTATTTCTAATGTTTAGAGACTGCTTTTGTATGACCAAATTTAGGGGATGGATTTCAATGGGTTAAGCCAATTACAGAGCTTTTCCACATGCATTAAGTAAAAACAAGAGGGTGAAGAACATAAAATAAAATTAAAAGAGATAAAGGAATATTTATATAACCAACTATAGTTTAGTTGGTTGGATAGTTAGCACTGGGTTGTTGGCCGAGTGGTCACAAGTATGACTGCCAGGCAAAGGGTCTAATAAAGGTCTAATAGTTATTTATATTGTAAACTAATTTGTATTGCATCTGTTTTGAGTGCATATTTTTATTGCGTAATTCTTATTGACACAGCTCTCATGGAATATGTTCTTCTCCAGGCACAATTAAGGTATATCATATAAAAAATCCCAATAATTAACCGATCTGGGAATAGAACCCAAAACCTCTCACTCAGCAGTTGCTCGTGTGGTCCCTCGAGGCAGAGCTTTACTCCATTATAAGAATTACTTATTAAAAATCTGGGTACCACATTAAAAAAGTTATTTTTTTTTACTGACTCTGCTATTTCGGCAGTCCTAATCATAATTTCATAGCGACTCGACAAACGGATTTGTCTCAATTTTTCATCTCACAAAAGATGACAAGTTTACAAATAGTTGCCATTACAAAATATCCTTTTGAACTGAGCGTTGTGTCAACAAAGGTTTAATGTTTTGAACGAACACCCAGTGTTAACAAACTATGCACAAAATGTTAAACAGCTAATAGAATTTGTTAACAATGATACACTCTCATGATCCGATGCGGGGCGACAAGAGAGAGGTTTTACCAAAGGCTAACAATATTTTATTTAACTATTTACACCTTGTTTAGGATATTATTTTTAATGGCAGAGCCAGGTTTTGGCACCGAAACGATTGCCCTGGTTCGCCTGGCGTTATAACACGACCTTCCAGGAAACAGGCGTGAAACAACGCTTACGTTTTCTTTCGCCGTGTGAGTGAGGTTCCCAGAAGCCCGAAACAGGTCGGCAACGCATTTGCAAGTGCTCTAGGGCTGTGTGTCCATGGGCGGTGCTGATCGCTAACGGCTAGGCGATACATCTGCTTATTTTTTTTTTTAATGAATTAATAAACGTTGCCCCACACTAGGATTTTCTCCTGTGTCGTGGGTGCGTTTACAAACATACAAGTTCACATACACATGACACCCAGACCCGAAACAACAATTTGTGGATCACACAAAGTGTTGTTCCGTGTGGGAATCGAACCCGCGACACGTTGCACGGCAGCCGGTTGCCTAGCCACCGCACCAACCGTGCAGTCGTTTGCATTTGCATTCCTATCACATAATAAACATGATTTTCAAGTAAAAAGAAAAAATAATAATGTAACTGGTGATAAATATTGACTATTAGTTGCACTTCCAACACTATTCGTGGAATTTTAATGCATCATATTACACGATTAAAAAGAAATGCAGACAAAACACATGATCGACGCACCGCAGACAAAAATAACAACTATATTCTAAATGATATACATTAACTGCGAAACTTAGACAAATATGAAACATGCTCTATTCTGTAGAGAGTAGAGTCTAATATGCTAGCTAATATGTTATAGGTCAGCTTCTGATAAAGCTTGCGATACTGAGATAAACCATCATCTGGCCGCATCTGGCGAGCCATGTGTGATAACAATTAATAAATATTTGTATAACAATAAGATTATTTGGTATCTATTTAAAGTATTCAAATATAATCACTTTAATACTTTACACAATTAATAACCTTTTGGGAAAACCAACATATGACGGATTTTATTACCAGTATTTATGTTGCACTCGTATATCTATATATATAAAAGAAAGTCGTGTTAGTTACACTATTTATAACTCAAGAACGGCTATATCGATTTGGATGAAAATTGGTGAGGATGTAGCTTAGAACCAGGAGACGGACATACTAATTAGGATACTTTTTACCCAATACTTATTTTTTACTTTTAACCGAAAATCAAGAACGGGTACGGGAAATATCGGGATTGCGCGTACGAAGTCGCGGGCAGAACCTAGTATAATATAGGTATAACACGTGTTTTTTTTAAGGGGGGAAAATCATCGAATGACTGCTCCCGCCTGTGTGAGCCGGGAGGGAGTGTCAGACTCTTACTGACTAAAATCCACCCCGTTCCTTCTCCTGCACGTCGAGTCAGAGCCCCGGTTACCCGTTAGGTTCTAAGTTCTAACACGTGAATGTACGGTTCACGTACAACGATTTTGTTGCTGACGATGCGACCTTAATTAGTATATAATAATATTCACTGAACAATGAACTGTAGTTGACAAATTGCAATTGGCCCGGATTGGCATCCAACTTATACCTACTTTGTAACTTTTAGAAATATATTATTTCTAGAGCTCAACCGTGGTTTTACCGTCAATCTCTGAGCAATACATCACGTAAGAGAGAAATGATGTGCCACGAATGGGCCGGCAATCTCGGTCTCACAGAAAACCGGCGTGAAGCAACGCAAGCGTTATGTTCAGCCGTCAATGAAGTTAACGAACGAAAAGCCTGCTAAAGGTTGTTCCTCTCATGTGAAAGGATGACACGTTTACTTTTCAGTAAATCTACAGTTATAAGGAAAAGCATTTAGCATTTATTTGGCAAATGGCACACAAACAAAGATTACATACATACATACATACATAACTTCACGCCTGTCTCCCATGGGGGTAGGCAGAGACTAAGGAACGCCAATTACTTCGATTCTTACATACCTCTTTCGCTTCATTAATAGTCATCAATCTTTTCATGCATGCTCGTCGGTTAAGGGTACTTTTAATTTGGCCCTTCTCTAATATATCGCCAATCTGGTCACTATATGTCCGTCTAGGGCGCCCTCTACCGACGGCCCCATTCATATCCGCTCTGTATACGGAAAAATGAAAAAATACAGATACTTACATAAATACATAACATCAATAGCAAACATAAAAGCGTAAAGATAATAACAAAAATCATCAAAATATAAGAAAATAATGTACATACAATACGAAACAATTGAAATAAGTTTTTGATATAAAGACAAATTAAATACACAAAAAAAACACCGTAATAAATAATATAATACTGCGTGTGCACATGCCAAAAGGGCCTCCACCTCAGCATATAGTTGAGCATTCCTGCCCAACGCTGATTTTCAGGTGGCACCCTGCAGTGACTCACGTCATAGTATATTATAGTTTATGTTATAGTTTTTGGGGAGTAATCCCCAAACCTAGAAATCAAGAATACCGTAGTTAAGACGAAAGTTAGTAAGATCTCAGCGACTGGTCTATTTATCTTTTACAGTCCATTGCTAGACTATGGACATCCTGTATATAAAAGAGTTTTTTGCCACTATAATTTCCATCTTGCCAGGCAAGTAAAAGATTGCAGATTAAAATATTCAGGTTAATGAGAGAGCCCGGTCTCTACCGAATATAGAATTGTAGTCTCTTAGTTCTTAGGATACCTCAACCTACCAAGAAATGATGATCTGATAATAATTAATGTATTTATGCTCTATTGTCATCATAAATCTAAAATGCATTGTTCATATTTCATAATAAGCACTGCAAAATGAATGAAAAATGACTGAAAATTACTCTCAATTCGATTCGGTTTTAAACAGCGGAATGTTTGTGTATATTCAATACCTAGGTATTTTTCATGGTCAGTTTACATTAATTATGTAATTTTGACGTATAAATTGTATGTTATTTTCGTGTGTTTTGTTATGTGGGTCTGAACGCGCGAATGAATATGATGATGATGATGAAGAACTGTAACTCTTAACTCTATACTGCCTCGACAACGACAGCTCTAAACTGCTTCGTTGATCTAACTATTGTAGGTGTAATTGCGACTCACAGCGAGGTTCAAGGGAGATACCTGTCTCCCTAAGACTGTGCCGTCACAGACGTTGCACCGTGGGAACTTCGGAGCAGGTTTCTTTTAGACTACTCGGTGCTTCTTACAGGTGTTGAGGATGGCCACAGGGGTAGTTTTGGTGAAGCAAAAATCCCACACTTCCCAGCTTTAGGCTAGCTAGGCCGCTTGAAGGTCTCACCCCGTCATCAAAAAAAAGGTGCAAGTACAACTACCTAAAAATTCGAAAGGGTCACCCCTACTGAATGCGACTCGTAACATAACTGACGAAAACTGGTTGTTACATTAATTATATGTGGTCCCCTGCCTATAGTGTAGGCCCTATACCATCATAATGATAAACGATGGTTCATATTTTATAGTGAATGTTTTCGGTCATTCATGGTGGACGATTTGTTAGGCACAATAGACCTACTAGGCTATTTTGTAAGAAGTCAATTCGAACTCTCGAACCGGAGATTCTCGCTCATTGGTCGAGATTAGTTGCACGACCAATGACATAGGGAACCGCGATGGAGCTCGAATTATTTAGTTAGAGGTATAATAAAGAGCCGCTATAACTGTGCAGGTTGCTTCTCGATTCTAACAGCGGCCTATCTGGGAGCCATTGGGGAAGGTGCAATATGTTCAGCATTGTGATAGTCAATTTATTCTTTATTCCAGATCTTTCTCAACCAATCCTACCGGTACTAGTGATAGCGTGCGACAGGGTGACGGTACAGCGGTGTCTGGACAACCTCGTCAAATTCAGACCGAGTAAAGAAACCTTCCCTATTATTGTTAGCCAGGTAAGTGTGTAATCTTCCTAAACATAACCTATTTTTATTTAATTTAACCAAAATAGTACTTTGGAATGTCAAGAATACAATAAAGAATGTTACCTAATTATGACTTACGGCTTACTCGCGTAACAGTTCGAGGTAACTCAACTAGTTACAAAACACAATAAGCATTACGCGACAAACAACACGGCGGGCGTAGTTACCGTAGTGTACCTACGTAAGTTATCTATACTAATATTATAAAGAGGAAAACTTTGTTTGTTTGTTTGTTTGGTTGTAATGAATAGGCTCAAAAACTACTGGACCGATTTCAAAAATTCTTTCACTATTCGAAAGCTACATTATCCACGAGTAACATAGACTAAATTTTATTTTGGAAATAAATAGGTTTCCGTAATATATTTGGGTTTTTCGGACACAAGGTGTAAAAAATCAACCAGAAAAGTTACTAATTTTGCGTACGCTGCCTAAACTATAAAAGATAGAACTATAAAATGTTCTAATTAGTTGTAGATCTTATAAATATCTACAAAAAACTCCGCGACACACTATATCTATCTATGTCGAGTGAGGCACAACAACCATTTTTTAAATAATAAATCTTGAATTTTTTTGGACTACTTTTAAACGCATTTATTTTACTCATTCTATTAATCCTTATCAAAATAATTTATTTCATCATTAAGTACAGTTAATGTAGATGATATTTGGTCTTTGAATGATTAAAATTGGATGTTTAGTTTCGAAGTTATGGCGAAATTAAAATATCACGATTTATGCTGCACGGCCCGTTGCGAAGTGAGCGTCACCAAGGCGGGGGTGCGCGTGCGGGAGGGGAGTTGGACCGTACTTTAAAAGACCTTCGAAGCTCTGCTAATGTCATGGGTGGTATCACTTTTGTATTTGCTGGAGATTTCCGACAAACGCTTCCAGTCGTCAACAGAGGTACGCGAGCAGATTTAAGTGCTATAAATCCATAGACACCGTCACTAACATTGAGGACGCAGTGCACTACCCTCAGGAATTTTTAAATTCCCTGAACCCCGCTGGGCTACCACCTCATGAACTGTCGTTAAAAGTTGGCACGCCGATAATGCTTCTCAGAAACTTAAGCCCCCCCAACATGTGTAATGGCACGAGACTTCTTATAAACGAGCTAAAAGATAATTTAATAGTAGCGAAGATTATCACCGGCCCTGCAGCTGGTGAATTAGCTCATATACCAAGGATACCCATGATTCCTACTGATTTGCCTATACCCTTCAAAAGACTGCAATTTCCAGTCAAAATTTCTTTCGCACTAACGATAAACAAATCCCAGGGCCAAACATTCAAATTAGTAGGAATTGATTTAAGAAAAGAATGTTTTACGCATGGGCAACTTTACGTTGCTCTATCACGGGTCGGGACTCCCGACCATCAGTATATTTTGTTACCTGAAAATAATTTAACGTCAAATGTTGTTTATAGAGAAGCAGGGTAGGGGTAAGGTAGGGGTAGGGTAGGGGTAGGGTAGGGTAGGGGTAGGGATGTAATTTACAGAATTATACCTGGACGAAGTCAGGGCGGGCCGCTAGTATAAAACAAAATGAATTGACGCTATGTCTCACGAACGATATAATATAATATTAAAATAAGCAGTTAACAATAATGAATCTTAACTGGTCAAGTACCGTCATTATAGACACAATTATAGAACAACTAGCTGACCCGGCAAACTTCGTACCGCCTAAAAGTTTTTTCTCACCTTTTAAACCTTCCCTAGACTTCCTCGAACCTATCAAGACCAAAATAAGCCAAATCGGTTCAATCATTCTCGAGTTTTAGCGAGACTAACGAACAGAAATTCATTTTTATTTATATAGATAGGTTGCAGTCACCGGTGACCGCTTGGTGTTTGACAGTTTAATTGAGTCAAGCGCCCTCAAAATCCTGCCTTCATGGCATCATCGCATCGCGCACTATTTTAGAACCTTTACCAATACATTGTAATTTGTCACTCAAATCTAATTAGTAAAGATTTAATTGTAATTGTAGGTTTTCTTTGCATTGCTTTCGTACGAATGTAACTAGTAAGTGTAAATCCAATATAAATAATAGGGATTATGAAGATTATCTGCTCGAAAACCGCCCAATCGTCCAAATCCTTTTAGACTTAACACATAAAGCCGAAGTTCTTTAGCACAGACTTGCATAACAAGCTAAATGGATATATGGTTGTATGGAGAATATTTTTATTTCATCTGGTGTCAACTGCACGCCTCCAACATACTTACTGTGAAAGAATACACCCTGAACCAACCAACCAACCAACCAATGACTTGTCCCGCCTTGAGTGAGGCTTTTTTTTTGAGGTGGGAAAATCATCCAATGACTTCTCTCGCCCGGGTGAGGCGAGAGGGAGTGTCAGATTCTCACTGAACAAAAACCAACCCGTTCCTACTCCTGCACTTCGAGCCGAAGCCCCGGCAACCCGTAAAGTCCTCCGCGACTCCATATCGGCATCAAACCTATTGGTATATTATCTGTGGTGGTCTGATGGCTCTTTGAGGCGCGCTCGGGTCTGGCGTCTGTTTTTCAATGGCGTCGTTGATTTTGCTGTAGAATATATTGAGCATGTCATTAACACCGTCGTCGTCGTCGTCATCGACTGACTGTCTCGTTGGCCGAGTAGTCGCAAGTGCGACTGCCGGGCAAGGAGTCTCGGGTTCGATTCCCGGGTCAAAGTATTACTAGGTTTTTAAAAATGTCAGTAGTCGCACGGAGTCTGGTATTGTGCCCGGTACCTATATGGCAATAGGCTCACCCCCTATTTATGTAATAGGACTCATAACATAAACAGTGAAAAGTAGGTGTTACATTGTACAGTGGCATTAAGTGCCGAAATGTGCACTTCTGCCTACCCCTTCGGGGATAAAAGGCGTGATGTTATGTTATGTATCATTAACATCCAGAGTGCTACCAAACAGATGACACCAATCGGTCTCATTCAGATATTCAGGAACCTTGTCGTAATCCAACTTATAAAAATTGAGTCTTTTGTTACCATCATAAGGCAGACTTGTTTCACTGTAAGGTCTAATGTATTTCAATGGGAGGATGGAGAGGGTCAATTTTGCTTAGGGGATTAGGAGCGGAGCAAACAGAGCTGGAAGTCAAGTTAGTCAAAGCAAGATCAAGTATACATAAC